GCAGTGCCTGGCCTGCAGACCCCCCTGGGTGGGCAGCAACCTCACCACCTGGGTGCAGGATGATGCTCAGAGGGCAGCGGTAGGCGGTAGAAGCCCACATGTCCAGCTGTCAGCAGGAGGTCTAGCCTGAGGCAAGGCTCCCACTTCCACTCAGCCTGGAGCTCTAGAGGGAGGGCGACCTACCTCCACGCCCCCTACTCTGACAGCCCCCCTCTCCCTCTGTTCCTTTGCCTCCTGGGCGGGAGGGGGCGCGGACCTCCGAGCTGCGCCTGCCGCTGTCACCAGCAGATGGCAATGTGGGCCCGGGCAGGAGCCGCGCGGGCGGAGAGGGGGCGCGGACCGCCCGCCCGCCCCCGCCTCTGGAGTAACGACTAGGCAGAAGCCAGTGGCACCTGGACCCGGAGCCACCGTCCGTGGGGAGGCTGTCCCTCCCACCCCTCACCCCCCTCCCATTCGTCAGTGGGCCTCACTCGGCAAGGCTCTCATTGCTACCTGGGACCACCGCAGCTCCCTAAGCCCCTCCCAGCTCCAGTCTGGTCCGCCTCCAACCCCCAGCCAGGTCTGCCCCCAGCCAGGACTGCTCCCTAGGCTTCTCTCCTGCTCCCCAAGCTCCTGGGTCAGCCCCCAGCCAGGCTATCTCCCAACCCCAGCCAGGTCCTTGCCCGGAGTTCCTAAAGGGAGTCCCTGTGTCCCCCTGCTCAAGGGTGTCGACCCAGCAGGCACCACCTCCGTGCAGCCCTCTGGATTTCTCCGGACTGAGAACCGGGGCTCTGGCTTGCTTCATCCAGAACTCTGAGCACCTGTTGGGGCTGGCCCAACAGTCTGGGGGTGGGGTGATAGCTTCACTGTCAGGGGGACAGTGTCCTCACTGCAACCCCCCATGGGCTCCTCCATCTTTCTTGCTTCTCTACACTCCCTCGCCCCCCTGCAAGGCCTCACACACTGTCCTTTTCCAGGGCCCAGGCCCCTGCTGACCCACTCAGCCAGAGGGCCCAGGAACTCATTGTCCCCATTGCTCGACCTCCTGGGGGGGCCTGAGAGCCCCTGGGGTCAAGTCCACCCTCCCTGGCTCTCCCTGCCTCTTTACTGTGCATGTCACTGCCTCCAGAAGCTTCTGTCCAGGCCCTGCACTCCAGAGGTCCTCTGCCATGACCAAGAGCTCCCGGTTGCAGAATGGGGTCTCGTCCTGGGCCTCCTTGGGCAGGGTGGGGTGCAGGGCCAGCATCTGGTCCCTGTGTCCTCCAGAGGACTGCCCAAGGACTCCTTCTACACACACACACACACCCCTAATCCCTCACAGAAAATAAAAAAAAATTGAGAGGGAAAATAAGAAACAGGAAAAGGTTTTCTCCTCCACTTTCTGAAATGAGATTTTAAAAATAACTTGGAGGCGGTGGCTGGGCCAGGCGAGGATTATCGGGACCGTGGAGGAGTGGGCGTGCAGTCAGCAGCTGCATCCCCTCCCCCGGCAGCCCCTCTGCTTGGGGCCCCTCCATACCTCTGGGTAGCAGGGAGGGAGCCCAGCTCTCATGAAGGGGGAGGGGGGAAACGAGGGGCTCTGGAGAGAGGAGGGTGTTTGGATGATCAGGAGGACCCTGGGCTGTTGTCCATCAGCCTCTGGGGGGTGGGGCGGGGGGCTGCATCTCTGGAGGGCAGTGTCCCCTCAGTGTCCATGTCACACTTCCAGAGGTGGTCCTCCACGCCCTGCTGGCCAGTCCACCTCCAGGTTTCTAGCAGGACGTCTTCGACTTCTGTATTAGCCTGTTCGTGTGTCTCTCCAGCTGCACTTCAACTGCCCTGGGACACTCTTGCGCTCCCACCCACCCACCCTAATCCTCACCTAGGCTCTGACCCTGTATCCCAAGGCAAGCACCCTCATTTCCTTGTCTGCCTGGCATGGCCTCTCCCATGACGGCCGGCCTGGGTCGGTGGCACCCTTTGTCTGGTGTCCCTCAGACCCCCTCTGCCCCAGCTGCTGGCAGGGATCACTAATCTGACACCAGCTGGCCCTGCCTCCTCCCACCACGGGTTCTTAGGGTTGCAGCCCTCAAACCTTGTCTTGGGGTCTGTGTACTCAGGTGCATACAAGACCCCCCAGAGATCCATGTCCCAGTCTGGGAGCCTCTGAAGGTGACCTTGCACAGCAAGGCTTCATAGATGGGGAGATGAATGGGTGGGGCCTGGAGGTGGCTGCCTGCATCCTGAGAGGGAGGTAGAGGGTCACGGCATAGGGGAGGAGCCGGGCGGGGCACCATGGGGGCCACACGTCAAAGACCCTGACCCAGGGGCAGCTGGAGGAGGTGGGGGCTTGGGGTGCTGCAGAGCCCTAGAGGCAGCGGTCCCCCCACGGCCCCGGGTGCCCTGTGAGCAGCTTTGGCGGGGGGTGGGGAGGAGCCAGGGAGCGTCTACTGTTTTAAATTCCAGTTTGGGTCAGGGTGCAGTATGCTTCTGGTGGTGGTGGGTGGGGGTGAGGCCTTAGGCACTATGGGGGCTGGGGTGGGTAGACACTGTGGAGCACAGGGACCATATGACTGATCACCCTCACAAGAGGAGGGAGGGGTGCAGTTCCCTCTCACAAGTGGACAGGGGCAGTGCCAGTCCCTGGTCACCTTCCTGCCTACTCTCCAAGGACAGGGGGCTGTGTGGTGGTTGGGGTCAGATGGGTTCATCTTGCAGACTGAGGGGTCTTGGCGAACAAGTCCATGGCATGCCCCGGAGATTGTGTCTGGGTGGCAGGGCTGTGACAGGCACAAGGGCCATCAGAGAAGGGCTGCTGAAGGTCCCGGGCCCAGACTGTAGGGCTTCCAAATCCCGGTCTGGGGGTGGGGAAGCTAGCCCCAGGAGCTGCCTCATCATACTGTACCCTTCCTTCTCCCATTCGTGCTTCTTTTCCGTTTCACTCCAATCCCCTTCCAGTGGGTTCTTCTCCCAGCCATGCTGCAGGGCACAGCAGGCCTACCTCTGTGTGTGTGTGTGTGTGTGTCTGTGTGTATGTCTCTCTCTCTGTGTGTGTGTCTGTGTGTATGTCTCTGTGTGTGTGTGTGTGTGTGTCTGTGTATGTACGTGTGTGTGATTCTGCCTCTGATGGGCTCAAAGACCAGTTTCCTGGGTACCAGCCCTTCGCTTCAGTGCTACCTCCCAACAGAGACCAGACTCACTGCCACGGAGCTGGTTCTGACCCAGAACGGCCCGCACAGGGTGTCTGAAGCTTTTGGTAGCAGAGTGTCTCCAAGCTCTGTCATTTGACCTGTGGGGGCTGTTCTCTCCCAGGCTCCCTTCCCACTCTGCCCTAAGGATGCTGGGTGCTATAAGCAGGGCCAACAATGGAGACATGGCCAGGTGAGACCCTCAGAGCCCTCCCAGCTCTGGCCCACCTCAGCGGGGGCCCTTTAAATGCAGAGTTCTTTCCTAGAAACCTGCCCATCCCCCCCCTCCCTACCTGCAGCCCGGGAAACAGATGCCTGACCCTTGGGATACTGCCATGGCTTCTCCCTGCGCTGGGGACCCCAGCCCCGCAGGTCTGCAGCCTCAGTCTCTGCCCTCCACCACCCCAGGTGAGGCGTGGGAGGGGAAGGAAGACAGGAGGGAGGGCCAGGTGGCAGTGGTGGGGTGGGGGCTGGCTTTCTACCCGAAGTCTAGGGACTCCTGGCTGAGATCTTCCAGGGTCCACCCACCCCCGCCCCTGCTTATGAACCTCGGGCTGTCAGACTGTAGCCCACATTGCTCTGTCTGGTGGTCCTGAAGCCCCTAGCCTCTCCCTCTCCAGGTAACAACCTCAAGCCCCCACCCCCACCTTCCGCTTAGTGCCCAAGCTCCCCTTGGCAACCAGGAGTCATTGGAAGAAAACTCTGCACGGTCTGTCCCAAGGGTGCGCTTGCCAGGCACCCCAAGGCCAACTTCCTGCTGAGCCCAGCGCTCCTCCTGCTAAGAGGGACAGCTAGCCAGCCTTTCCACCCTGCCCAGGACTTCCCCTCCTCACCCCCTCCACCCCCGCCTTCCACAGCATGCTGAGCTCACACCCCTCTGACCCCATCTTGGCAATCACTGTCCCCCCAATTACAGCGTGGCCACTTGGGGGCTGTTTAGACTTGGCTGCCTCCCTGTCACTCCTTCCAGCTTGCTCTTGAACCCACGCTACTCTGCACTTCACTGGGCCAGCTCTGGCTCAGCGGCCAGCACCACATGTTGCCAAGGCCGAGGTCACTGCTCAGGCCCCATGGGGGTGGGGTGCCTCTATGCCCTCCACCCTGAGTGAGTGGGACAGGGGGTGAAGGCACGTCTCCTGGTCAGGCCATGAGCTGTGACAGGCCCCTGGCAGGCTGTGGCCACGGAGGGAGGGGCTTCAAGGGACCTGACACCCCCACTCCTGCCAGCCAGGGGCCAAGGACTGTGTTCCTACAGGATTGTGGGGACACCAGGTCTCCCGTTCCACCAGGCCCCCCAGGGGGGCACATGTGACCCCCCCAAAGGCCATCGGACAGAGATCTAGAGGTTTCTGGCCTCTTCTGGGACCACCCTTGAAGTCTGACAGAACCCCAGCCAGACTTCCCCAGTGGGACCGCACTGCACCCCTGGGCCCCACTTCTGCCAGGCCAGAAGGGGCTGGGCCTCACCCTCCTCCCAACTTCCTCCAGCCCCTCTTGGGTGGGCCTGCACTGATCCACTACACAGAGGCTCTGACAAGCCCCTGCCTGCCCCAACAACCCCACCTACCGGGCAAACCCCCAACTCTTGGCTTGGCTGTGGGTTCCCTCATCTGGAACTTGCGACCCCATCACAGCTAGGGGTTCACAATGGCCCTCACACTGGGCCTGCCAGAGGGGGGCTTCCATGTCCTTGCTGCTGCCTGTCCCTCAGGAACGAGGCTCAGGCCCCTCCGTCCACGCCCCTTCCTGTCTCCTGCAGGTGTGGCCGCGGCCCCGGAGCCCCCCTTCCCGGACATCTACGGCGGGGACCCCCAGCTCTGGGAAGCGCACTTCCGCGGCATCGGGCGCGCCTACCGCGCTCTGGGCAAGGAGGAGGACTTCGCCATCCGCGTGCTGACCGAGGACTTCACGCTGCCCTTCCCGTTCGCCTGGCCGCCGGGCCCCGACCCGGCCCGCGGGCCGCTGTTCTATGACCCGCGGGACCGCGCAGGCTTCGACTTCCTGCTGCGCGGCCCCGGCGCGCCACCCCCGGTTCTGCTGCGCCCGCTGCACCTCACCGCGCAGGCGGCCTTGCGCAAGAGACGCTTGGAACGCCTGGCGCTGAGCTATGCCAGCGCCAGCGGCCCGCGGCCCAGCCTGGTCCTGCTCGCGCCCGAGCCCGGGCCCCCCGCCCCCGCCCCCGCCTGGCCTAGCCCGGGATGCCAATAAAGACCAGGACCCCCAATACAGAGGCCTCCCCTGGCTGTGCCCAACCCAGCCTCCTCGTGTGCGGGAACCCTGCTGGGGGCTCCAGCATCTCAGCAGGACTCCAAACCCTGCCCTGTTTGGAAGTCTAGGGTACTCATCGAACCCCTACTGTCCAGTCCCGTCTGTCCGACACTGTAGGGCCGCGTGGCAATGCCCGATCGTTCCTTAGGACGCCCCTCTAACTGCACCAGCTTGCCCCATCAGGTGCCTGGGATTTCCAGCTCTGGGTTAATGTAACCCACGGTGCCACCAGGGCTGCCACCAGGGCTCCTCAGGGTCTCCACAGGGATGGCGGATGACTGCTGTAGAGGGGAGAGGAGGTGGAAATGGCCTGGCGCTGGCACTGGGGAAGGAGCCCCTCCAGTACCCCTCGCCCACCTGCCTGGGAGGGCTGACGTCCATGCCAGAGGCAGGGTCACTGGGACCTCCACACCTCCTGTTGCCACACTCGGTGAGGGCCCGAGGGGACGGGGTGGGGTGGGGGTGGGGGGCGGGCGGAGAGGAGGAGGAGGACGCAGGCCTGCTAGAGAGGCAGGAAAGGCTGGGAAGCAGGGGTCACCAAGGTGGGGGCTTTCCCGCAGATGACAGGGACATGGCTCCCACTTGCCCTTTGGGCATGTGTGTTCAAAGAGGCCACCAATGAGCAGGTCTCCCTCTGGTGAGTGTCCCTCTTCTGGGACAAGCCTTGCTGGGGCTGGTGGAGGGGCAGAATCACTGTGGGACCTGGCCTGCCCTTCCTTGCCTGCACCAGGCACCCGGGCAGGGGCCCACATGGCATATTGGGAAGATGCCACCCCCAAATCCCCAGCCCTGACTCCCCCTGCATGGAGGCTGGCTTCTGGGTGTGCCATGCGGCTGGGGTGGCCATGCTGGATGGCACGTAAGGTTCCCCCAAACCCTTCTGGAGCCTGGGGTTGTGGCTGCTCTCTGGAGGAGAAGGAGGCCTGGGGGTGGGGGTGGGGGATCTGGGAGAAGGTCCTCCTCCCCAAACAGGCCCACCCCAGGCCCTTTGCACTCACTTCCTGTCAGCCACAGATCTGGGGTCTGGGGGTCAGCATCTTGCCCACCACCCTTGCCCCGATGCACCAGGAGACTGGTGGCTTTGTCCTGAAAGTCTGAGGGTCGGTAGCGTTTGGTGTGCCCGCTGGTGCCTACTGGGGTGGGCGGGGCCCTCTAGACGAATACTGGAGTCCAGGGTCCTCTTTCAGACATGACACACCAACTGTGTCTCCTCACATGTTGCTAGGGCGACCGTGAGAGACAGCACCTACCAGGTCCCTGGCTCAGCCCCTGCAGTCCCATCTCCTTCACCCAGCCCCAGGTCACCCTTGGACTCAGGGTCCTGGGTCCTCTTCTCCTGAGCCCCCTCCTGCCCAAGCGGATAGGAGGAAGTGTTCTCCGGACCCCGAGAACAGAGTCCTCCCAGGGTCCTCTGTAGCCAGGCCTGGCTGCTGGCTCCCCTCTGGGCTCCCCAGTCACCCTCTGTCCTCCCCCCTGGTACTCCTCCAGGGTGGAGTGGGTTGTCTGTCCCCTTGACCCCCAGCTCCTAACCACTCTCAACTAGTAGCTGCTCAATGAGACTTTGTTGTCTTGACTGTGGTCCTAACCTCCCTGAGCTCAGGGGCTGGGGCTTCCTGGGGACGGGCCCTCCTCCCCTGAGTGCAGGCTGACGTGGAGGTGGGACAGCAGTCTGGGATTCCCAGTGAGTGGGAGCCTTCCTGGGCAGAGGTTCCAGGAGCTGGTTCCCTCCTGTTGGATGTGGGAGAGTTGGGAACAGGCGTGAGGACTGCCCGCTGGCTCCCACCCCAACCCCTCCCAGGGCCCCTCCCGATCGCCAGGAATGGACTTGGAGGAGAAGCTGAGGATGTTTAATTAATTGCAATTACAATCTTCAAAGGACGTGGAGAGTTGAAAGTTGTTCCTAATTACTGTGCTGTGATGTCTGCCGGCTCCCCAAATTGATTGTGTTAGACTTTCCGATGGAGGATTAATTGAGTAGCTGCGAGGGCCACCCCTCCCCCTCCTTTAGATAAAGTGGGTGCCAAGTGTGGGTCGAATGACAATGACATGGACTGGGCGTGGCCTTCGTGGCAGACCAGATGAAGAGGTCAGTGGGAGGGGACTGGGCAAGGCCTGGCTTGGGGCTCCCAGGCGGTAGGTCAGCTGGGCTGGCTGGCGCTCATCCACCACTGCCCTGGCCCCGCCTCACCTGCTCCTCCACCTGGCCCGCTGTCGGTAGGATGTGGCCCCTGGCTGGCCAGCGGGTCCTGGGGCTGTGGGCTCTGTATCTTAACCTGGCCTTCCTGTGGACGCCGGCGCCCCCCAACCTGTGACTCAGGGCCAGTGGACCAGAACACTCAGCAGAGTGGCCACTGAGCATGACAACAGGGGGCTGTCCTGAGCTGGGGGCCCCCGGCACAGAGCTGGGCGGCTTCCCAGTGCTGCAGTCACTGGGGTGGATGTCCCTGAGCTGTGCTGCTTCTTTGCTCCATGCCTCAGTTTCCCCACCTGTAAATAGGAGGCTGGATGGAAGGCCAGGGGCAGGGGGAGGGGACGCTTGTGGCTGTGTGGCGTGGACCGCGGGAGACTTGTCCCTTTATCTCAGGGACTCGCTGTTCATGGACCACATTTGTTCTCTGGGGGACCAGCAGGCTGCCAGGCTCGGGGTGGGGGTGGGGTGGGGGTAATGTTCCTGGCAGCTGGCTGGGAGCCTCCTGAGACCCGAGGGGGTGGGTGGCCAGGCAGAGAACAACAGGGGGGACATGGGGACTGTCAGCCAGTGGCCAAGTGTGGAGGGGAGATGGGTTTGTGAGCCTGGGGTCTGGTGGAGGTTTGGACGCAGGGCCACCTCCCAGGTGCAGGACTGGGTCAACTCCCGGGGGGTGGACACTGACTCATCCTCAGGGCGGGTGGGAGCAGAGACCAGCCAGGGTCCTATTGGTGCCTGGGAACCTGGCTCACAGAGAGAAAGGCGCCCGAGGGGCATTTCCGGCTCCTGGGGGTGAGGCAGGAAAGCGTGCCCCTCTGTTGAGAGCTCGGCTGTGCCAAGAGGTCTCGGTGGCAAAGGGCCCAGGAGGCCTGTGTGGGGAACCAGAACTCCCACCGCTGTGGAACCTCCTGGGTCTGACTCCCAGGACACGGCAGGGCTGTGTCGAGCTGGCCCTGCGGCTTCTGAATTTGCCATCTTGACAGGAGCAGACAACCTCTTCTTCTCCCCTCAGAGCTGCTGGTGGGTTTGAACCACCTACCCTGTGATCAGCGGCTCACTGCTTGTCCTCGGGCGTGATGATGGTAAGGAGGAGCCCATGCAGGGATGATCCTGTTGGACTGAGTGGCGAGCTGCGAAGGGGGGATGGGCAAGGACAGAGGCAGGGTGGGCGTTTGGGGGCCAAGGTGGCACAGCGCTGCTGCAATGACCCAGATGAGGTGCTGGCCAGCCTACGGGGTGAGGGACACGTGGGGTGGGGCAGCAGAGGTTTGGAAGGTGGAACGATGCTTTGGGATGAAGTGAGGGAAAGTGGGGCCACAGCATTCCCATCTCTGAGGTGGGGCTGTGGATGCGGCAGTCTGGGCGTGTCAGGGCCCCCCAGGGCTGGTGGTGCCGGAGGGAAGCGAGGCTGGTGCTGGCAGCCCTGGGGCTCCTCATCCGTGAAATGGGTTGCTGACACGTGGCAGGGGCGGGGACTACTCATCCGTGAAATGGATCGCTGACACGTGGCAGGGGCGGCGGCTCTTCCTCCAGCCTGTCCGCCCATTGCAGGCTGGCGACTGGGCTGCTGTGGTGGGGAGTGCTCCCCAGGCCCCTTAATTATGGAGTGCTAACGAGCCTTGAAATTAAATTAGCAGGAGGAGCTGCTCAGCCCCAGCTAAGGGGAGAAACTGAAGCTCTGAGATGCCCAAGCCAGCGGGGTTGCCCGTGGACCCCTGAGGCAGGCAAGGGGCCTGGAGGGGGCTACAGGGCACTGTGCCACTCTGGTGTCCATTGGACCTTGCTTGGGCCCCTCATCCTGCCATCTACTGGCACGCAGGCAGGGAGGCCATGCAGGCAGGGTGGCCCCGCAGGCTTTGGCAGCAAATGTCTGCCTGGGGCCATGGACAAGCCCAGGCACTGCTGAGCCTCATCTGATATGAGGGAGGGGGCTCCACGGGGCGGGGGGCAATGGTCGGACACCGTCTGGGCCCAGTCCTCCCAGCTGGATGGCTGGGAGCCCCGAGGTGGGGGCTCAGGGGGAAGCATCAGTTGTGGCCACCGCTCCACCTGGGAGTGTCCCGGGTCCCCCTACACGTGTTCCGATCCGGTGTGGGAGCTGCCGCCCCGCCGGGCTCCAGCAGAGCGTCCCAGCTCCGCCCCTCAGCAGCTTCCTTCACGTTCACCACGGCTAACTGCTGGCGGGAGTCGTTCCTGGGAACAGAGAGACGTAAAAGATGGCCCCACTCAAGGAGCCCCAAGTTGCCTGGGGGGAGCCCTGATGGGCGGGAGGCCACCGGCCGGTCCCCTTGGTCCTGCCGGCCACTTCCAGGCCCCTTGAAGGTGTGTGACCAGGGGCTGCTCTGGGCTGAGCGCCCCGGGGGTCCACGGCGTGATGCGTGCACCCACTGCGCCCACATGCTCCCGGAGCGGCTGTGAGTTTCCTTGAAACCGATGAAGGGTTTTTCTTGTTTTCTTTTTTTGGCAA